TTGTTCACTTTGTCACTTGTGCTGCTGCTATTCGTTGAGACATTAACACTGATGAGCTTGCAATTACAATAAAGTGCCTCACCCAGTCTCTTTGTTAATTCAACAGTACTCATTTGAAATTTGTATGTGTTTCTTCCAACGAGTAAGTTTCACATTGTCAACATCAAATTTAATTTTCATTTCTGATTTAAATCCAAAACAAACCATTAATTCCATCTTCTAGTTCAACAGAGCCTCCCTTTTGAATGTTGTTTGAAGAGCTTATAGCTGCTTTTGTTGCCTGCATCATTTATCAAGTGGTTACCAATTAGCACAGTGCACATTTGCTCTTATGACTTATTCCTTTCTGGTAGCTGTAGCTCAGTGGCCAAAAGTTGTTCAAGACCCTGTTCAGCACATTACCTGGGCAGGCATTCCAGTACACTTACGTGGGAGTGCTGCTTTTCAGGTCAGATTGAAGAAGACAGAGCAGTAGAGATTGCCTATATGGACCACAGCAATGCGCTTGACAAGGTTCCGCAGGGTAGACTGGTTAGCAAGGTTCGATCACGTGGAATCCAGTGGGAGCTAGCCAATTGGATACAAAATTGACTTGAAGGTAGGAGACATAGGGTGGTGTGGAGGGTTGTTTTTCAGACTGGAGGCCTGTGACCAGCAGTGTGCCACAAGGATCGGTGCTGGGTCCACTGCTTTTTGTCATTTACATAAATGACACCTCACCTGACAAAGAAACAGCACTCCGAAAGCTTATGATTTCAAATAAACCTGTTGGGCTATGACCTGGTGTTGTGTGATTTCTGAGTTTGTCTACCCCAGTCAAATACTGGCACCTCCACATCATTTATATAAATGATTTAGATGTGGATGTAGGCAGTGTGGTTAGAAAGTTTGCAGATGACATCTAAATTGGTTTTGTAGTGGACAGTTAATAAGGCTATCTCAGAGTACAATGGGACCTTGATCAGGTGGGCCAATGAGTCGAGGAGTGGCAGGTGGAGTTTAATTTGGATAAATGCGAGGTACTGTACTGCATTTTGCTAAGGCAAATGAGGGCAGAACTTATACACTTAATGACAGAGCTTTGGGAGTGTTGAGAGCCTTAGGGGTGCAGCTGCATAGTTCCTTGAAAGTGGAGTCACAGGCTGACAGGGTGGTGAAGGCAGTGTATGGCATGCTTACCTTTATTGGTCATTGCATTGAGTAAAGGATATGGGATGTCAGGCTGCAGCTGTACAGGACATTGGTGAGTCCATTTTTAAAATACTGCATTCAATTCTGGTGTCTCTGCTATAGGAAAGATGTCGTTAAACTTGAAAGGGTGCAGAAAAGATTTACAAGGATGTTCCCAGGATTGCAGGGTTTGAGCTACAGGGAGAGGCTGAATAGGCTGGGGCTTGTTTTCCTGGATCGTCAGAGGCTGAGGGGTGACCTTATAGAGATTTATAAGGTCATGAGGGGTGTGGATACAGTGAATAGACAAGGTCTTTTCCCCAGGGTAGGGGAGTCCAAAACTGGAGGGCATAGGTTTAAGGTGAAATGGGAAAGATTTAAAAGGGACCTGGGACAACTTTTTGATGCAGAGAGTGGTGCATGTACGGAACAAGCTGCCAGAGGAAGAGTTGGAGGCTGGTACAATGACATGAATTAAAAGGTATCTGGATGGAACATGAATAGAAAGGGTAGAGGGGGTATGGGCCAAATGCTAGCAAATGGGACTAGATTAATTTAGGATGTCAGGTTGGCATGAATGAGTTGGACCGAAGGGACTGTTTCCATGCTGCACAACTCTATGACTCTATGAGATGTTACACTGAGGTTCCATCTGCCCTCATAGACGGATGTAAATGATCCCATAGTTCTATTTTGAAGAACAGCAAACAGTTTCCTGTGTAGTACCTTACATTTATCCCTCAATCAACTGGACTGAGGACACACTGGGTCCGAGTTAGTCACTTAACCATTAGGGTAGCTGTCATAATCTTCTTTAGATAGTGCCAGAATTGGATGGTTGGAGCCATTGGGAAAAGCTGATTAGGCTGAGGCTATTTTATAAGGTAACCTTATAAAATCATGATGGGCATGGATAGGGTGAACAGTCAAGGTCTTGACCCCAGGGTAGGAGAGTCTAAAACTAGAGGGTTTAAGGTGAGAGGGGAAATATTTAAAAGGGACCTAAGGAGCAACGTTTTCCTGCATAGGGTAGGCCAATATGGGATGAACTGCCAGAGGAAATGGTGGAGGTTAGTACAATTACAACATTTAAAAGGCACCTGGATGGGTATATGAATAGGAAGGGTTTAGCGGGACACGGACCAATTGCTGGCAAATGGGACTAGATTAATTTGGGATAACTGGTTGGCATGGACGAGTTGGACCGACGCATCTGTTTCCACGCTGTGCATCTCTATGACTCTAAATACAGCAACAATAACTTGCATTCATAGAAACTTGGAAAATAGGAGCAGGAGTAGGCCATTCAGCCCTTTCAGTCTGCTCTGCCATTCTTCATGATCATGGTTGATTAGCCAGTTGAGTAGCCTGTTCTCACTTACCCCCATATCGTTTGATCCATTATCCCCAAATGCTATATCCAATTCCTTCTTGAAATCATACAATGTTTTGGTCTTAACTGTTTTCTGTGCTGGTGAATTCCACAGGCTCACCATGCTCTGGATAAAGAAATTTCTCCTCATTTCAGTCCTAACCAATTATCCTTAGACTATGACCCCGGGTTCTGGACTCCCTGTCATTGGAAATATCCTTCCTTCATTTACCCTGTCCACTCCTGTTAGAATTATATAGGTTTCTACAACATCCCTCTTATTGTTTTGATCTCCAGCAAATATGATTGTAACCGATTCAACTTCTCCTCATAGGTCAGTACTACCTTTTCAGGAATCAGCCCGGTAAACCTTCACAGCACTCCCTCTGTAGTAAGAACATCCTTCTCCGGATAAGGAGACCAAAACTGCACACAATATTCCAGATGTGGTTTCACCAAAGCCCCGTATAATTGCAGCAAGACATCCCTGCTCCTGGACTCAAATCCATTTGCTATAAAGGCCAATAGTGTGCCTTCTTCCCCGTCTGCTGGACCTGCATGCTTACCTTGACTGGTATATGAGGACATCCAGCTCTTGCAACACATTCTCTTTGCTCAATTCATTGTCTTTCAGATAATAAACTGTCTTCTTCTTTTTGCGGCCAATGTGGCTAACCTTAACCTTAGCCCACGTTACATCACATCTGCCACGCACTCACATTGTCCAAATCACACTGAAGCGTCCTTCTCACAGTTTACCCTCCCACCCGACTTTGTTTCATGTGCAATATTTGGAGATATTACATTTAATTCCCTCATATAAATATTGTGAATAACACCTTTAACATAGTCAAATACCCAAAAATATGTCACAGTAGCGTTATCATGGAAAATGTGTTTAGGAAGGGCATTCTGGAGCTTAGGGCCCAGGCAACATTGGCATGAAATCAACAGTGGAGCAATTAAAATCTAGGAACGCGAGACATTCTTTCACTGTTTCAACCATGGCGGTTCACCATGATAATGAATGGGATGAGTACTCACAGAGGCAGCTTGTCTTCACCTAGTTCATAGCAACCCAGAAAGCTCCTCCGATCAATTTTACCATCCAGTGCATTGAATCGTGGACCATGTTCTGACTGTCCTTCCTTCCTATACCACAAACATACATTAAAGGTGAAACAGGCAACTTCTTTTGTTTCAAAAATGAGCAAATAAATTGAAGCTGACAGATAGAGCAAACCTACATACAATGTGGGAGACACCCTCAGGATGGGAGGGATACAGGTAGGGAGGGCACTCAGAATGGGGGAAAGAGACATGACACATAAAGACATGCAGGAGCTGGCAGTCAGAAAGGAGGAGCACTCAGATGGTGAAACAGACTGAGAGGGATCGTTGGATGAGGTAGAGGGTCTGGACAGACAGATTTTAAGTGAGCACATAGGCAGGGACAGACAGACAAACACATTCGTACACTGGGTGAAGAGACCCACAGCCAGATATTGAAGAGATTCTACTCTCCCGCTCTCATCTTGTCCTCTCTTCTTCTTTAACCCACCCTTCCTCCCTCGTCCCCCATATTACCTGTAGTCAGGATCTGCCCACTCAGGACTAGCCTGGATACTATCTGCTGTGTAATCCACTGGCTCATATTCTGGCCATGCCACGCTCCAGCTGACATAGCTGTCAGGGACAGGGAAGCGCTGGACCTGAGAACCTGGATAGGGGGATCTTCGTGCCTTGACGTGAATCATCGATAGGCTTCCCGTATTCTGATGTGAGGCGTCGCACACTGGGTAAGTTGCAGGCTGATACCAACCAGACTGGGCAAGGCAGACACTGAAATGGAAACACTATCATTTAGAACTTATTTCTCGAGAAACTCAACCCCAAAGAACACCAGTCTCTGAATACATGAAGCACTTCTACCCCAATACAATGACCACCCTTCAGAAACTACCTCATTCATTGAAGTCACAGACAAAGTCATGAAAAACACTACATCAGTGTAAGTTCTTTACTAAATTCTGGCTCATTTTGTGCAGTCAATTTTTTCAGATTTTCTTGAATTGACCTGGGTTTGAGATATTCAAATAAGTGCAACTGAAATCTCCTAAACACACTTATTTAATACATCATTCAGTATACAACAACAACCATTTCAAGGAATCTTTCAGAAACCTGCCCCTCCCCATCTACCTCAAACCCTTCATCTCGCTCCATCTGTTCAAATCCCTCTCAAGTCACTTAGAATATCATTTTCTCCAGCTACAGATTTAATCTTCAGTGATCTGCCCCACCCTGATCTTGGTGGATGGAGAGGCTGCTGGAAATCTCTTTGTCAGAGACGCTGGCTGCTGTTGGTCAGAAAAAGAAACCTTTGACTGGAGTTCTTCCTCAGCAGAATGATATAAATAAATCAATAGCACTTGGTCACTGTAGAATGGAGTCGCATTTGCTGGATGAACACAATCGATTCCTTTTTATATTTCTGTTGCTATGAGATTGCTGTCAACCAATGAAACTTGCTGACAGAAATAAAAAGCTCAAATGTTCCTGACTCACTTCCTCAAATCAGCCACATACATTTACAGGCATGCAATAATTTTTTTAAAATAAAAGGCTTTTTGTTTGTGGCTGTTTAGCAATTTTCATAGCTTTTTTAAATGATCCAGTTCTCCCATCTGTGTCTGGTCTGCAACAACATGATAGCCAACTGCCTCTTCAAGAACTCACAAACAGTGGCAGTGTTAAAACTGTTCAACCACAGAAGGCATTGTTGTCAGCTGTAGCTCAGTAGGTAACATACATCCGTTGGAGTAGGAAAATTATGGTCTCATTTCGCTCCAGAGACTTGACTGGGCAAAATATAAGCTCATTTGCCAGTGGAGTACTGAGGAAGTACTGTACTGTTTGAGGTTCTGTCTTTGGCAATGAGACACTCAACTAAGATCCTGTCTGCCACCTCAGGTAGATGTAAAAGATCCCATGGGACTATATGGAGAAAAGATTCAAAGACAACCAATTCTGGCCAATTGTCATTCCACAATAACATCTAGAGAACAGATTATAGTAAACTCCCCAGTATCCGGCATGCATGGGGAATGGGGTGTGCTCATTACACAAATAGATTGTATTTATGAGTGGTCCCAGCCACAACCAGTCAGTAAGGTTTGATCAAAAGGAGGAAGAGAGGTGACTAAAGGATCAGGTTCCAGCAAGCAAACCTACTCCCGCTGATTTTAGTTTTATTCACTTGTGGGACACGGGTGTCACCGACTGGGCCAGCACTTACTGCCTGTTCCTAGTTGCCGTTGAGAAGGTGGTGGTGAGCTGCCTTCTTTAACTGCTGCAGTCCCTGTCCTGTATATAAATCCACAATACTGTTAAGTGGAGGCAAAACATCCAGAATTTTGATCAAACAACAATGAAAGAACAGCAATATTTCCAAGGCAGGATGGTGTGTGGCTTAGAGTGAAACTTGCAGTTTGGTAGTGTTCCCATGTATCTGCTGTCCTTGTCCTTCTGGATGGAAGTGAATGAGAGTTTGGAATGTGCAGTGCTTCTTCTTGTTCTTACACACTGCCAATTATAGAGTTATACTGCAGGGAAACAGACCATTCGGTCCAACTAGTCCATGCCGAACATAATCCCAAACTAAACTAGTCCCACCTGCCTGCTCCTGGCCCATATCCCCCCCAAATCTTTCCTACTCATGTTCTTATCTAAACATTGTAACTGTGTCCACATCCACCACTTCCTCAGGAAGTTCATTCCACACGCAAACCATTCCCTGTATAAAACAAAATGCCTCTTACATCTTTTTTAACTCGGTCTCCTCTCACCTTAAAAATGTGTCCCCTAGTCTTGAAATTCCCCCTTTTAGGAAAAAGACAACTACCATCAACTCAAATTTGCAACATGAAGTGGAGAGAGGAGGATTTCTGTTAAGTACCCTCATGTGGACATCCTGATCTGGATAATGGGGATTTTACAGTGTCTGGTTACTATCACATTACTGTTTGTGGGAGCTCACTCTGAATATATTCTCCGCTGCATCACACCGGTGACTGAAGTTCAAAATGACTTTATTGAACCTAAATGCACTTTGACTTATCCGAAGATGTGAAAGGCACAGAATGAAACAGCATCTTTCTGTTTCAGCTGGTTTCTGCGTGTAAGTGTATTTTTCAACAGGGATAGAGTAAAAAATTCCGACTGAATTTTCTTTTCCTCGTGGAGGAGGGAACTGAACAGATTGTAATATCTCCACTACTGGGTCCTCGCTATAATACCCAAACTTAGCACCGCCTGGAACATCCTCATCTCTAGTGCACATGCAGGACTGAGTTCATCACATGGGCTACTCAGAGTTAATAAAACAAAACTATCTGGAGCAACGGATGCTGAGGGGTGATCTTATAGAGGTTTATAAAATCATGAGGGGCATGGATAGGGTAAATAAACAAGGTCTTTTCCCCAAGGTGGGTGGGGGGGGGGGGAGGGGAGTTGGTGGGAGTCCAAAACTAGAGAGCATAGGTTTAAGGTGAGAGGGAAAGATTTAAAAGGGAGCTAAGGAGCAACTTTTTCACACATAGGGTGGTAGCTGTATGGAATGAGGAAGTGGTGAAGGCTGGTATGATTACAACATTTAAAAGACACCCGGATGGGTACATGAATAGGAAGTGTTTAGAGGGATATGGGCCAAACGCTGGCAAATGGGTCTACATCTATTTAGGATATCTGCTCGACATGGATGAGTTGGACCGAAGGGTCTGTTTCCTTGCGGTATATCTCTATGACTACTTGACTGCATCACTGCGATGCAAAGTACTAATGGAAAAAATATACATAGTGCAGATGGAGGCCATTTGGTCCAAGATGGAATACTCTGTTTAACCCACAGGCTTCACCCATCTGGGACAGAGCAGTACCTCCAAAATCTGAGACACTGACTAGAGACAGAGACTGATCTTCAAAACAAAGAGTGGGTTCAGATGTGGCATCTCAGGGTCACTGTACCTGTCTCTGATCCAAATCCAGCATAGGAGGGCAGTACATACCACGCACACACTCATTGTCTTCCATAGGTTACGTTTGGGAAAACTCATAATTACTTAGATTCACAATGTTTCTGCTCACATCCACACCACCTAATATAATTCCAGTCCCATCACACCAACAACTTTTAATTTTTGTTTTCACAACATTTACACTCAGCCTGCTCACAGTCACAGCCCGATCCTTAAATGCTAACACTTAGCCCTGTTTATATTAACTGGTCAGGCTCCCACCTCCAAACCTAAAGACCAGACTCCTGCTCAATCATTGGCTAATCACTTCACTAGATCCCAGAGCTCGCTCACTCCTAGACACACACAGACACAGACTCTCACTCTCTCTGCTCACACTCACTCTTAGTCTCTCACTCCCTGACCACGCTCATCCTTGGTCACACTCAGACTCTGACGCTTGATCTCCCTGGCATTCGATCACCATGGCCCCACCCTCTGCAGAAATGGGCCAATCACGTACGGCAGCCCTGTGCACCACAACTTCCGGTCCGCGGACAAGCAGCTCCGGGTGGGACTGTTTCCCTGGGATAGTGTGTGCTCACGGAAGGGGAAGGGTTTGGCACGGCACCGGGAGAGGGAGGAAGGTGTCGGCCCCGGGCAGGTGGAGGGTTAGCCGGGCCCAGGGGAGGCCTGTCACCTATCAGTTACTGTACATGTAGGCCACCCTTCGCCTTGTGAGCGTTAACTGGTCGAGAGCACTTTAATTCGGTTTAAAAGACTGATCAAATTTATGTAGCGCCTCTTACATCCTTAAGGCGCGTTACAGCTAAGGACGTGCAGCCACTGTTATAATGTGGGAACCTTGAAGGCAATTTGAGTAAAGTACGATCCCGCATGCAGCATTGTGACACTCAGTGATGTGGATTTCCATATAGTAGTTGCCCAGAGCCAACACACGAAGGAAAACTCCCCTGTCCTTTTTGTAGTGACCCCGGAGATCTGCTTACCCACCCGAGAGGTTAGTTGGGTCTCGGTTAAATATATCACTTAAAATGTAGCATTTCTAATCGTGTAGCACTCTCTCCAACCAGTATTGGTGTGCCCTGCTGGATTTTAATGCCCCTTTTTAAAAATCTGGAGTGGGGTTTGGAGCCTAGACCTACCAATTCAGAAATGTCAGGACTGCCACTGAGCCCCAGTTGGTGGTACACAAATGTGTGCTGCAATCTGACTTATTGCATTGACCACTAACCTAGCATGTACACGGTGAAAGACTTTTTTTTAAAAGTACAAATTAAAACTTGTTTGATGATGCAACTATCTTCCATGGTCAGTATTAAGTTTGTTATAAAGAACTTGATCAGTCTTAATATTAGTCTTTTTGACAGTATGTCCATAATTCTAATAAAAGGTGTGCACCCAAAACAGGGATCATCTTTTCCAGATGTGAATGGATTGTTGAGATCTTATTATTTTATTTCACATTTTCCAGCACTTGCAGATTTACTTGTTTCCTTTTTAATGTTTTTGTGCATTTGTATTTTTTGTTGACAGGCTGCACACATTCATAACAACAAGGGAAGGTGAAGTGTATAGTTTATCAGGATGAACCGATCAAAAGCTGTGGCAATCCGGCGCCCCAGCAGTGCCAAACCTAGTGGTGAGTGAGGCATCTTATAGAAATTATGTAGATTTATTTTCTTTTGCCAAACATTTGCTTCTTAGTGTAACAATATAAAATTCTGAAAAGAGTTGCCTGGAAGCAGGTGGTATTTGGTGTACAAGTAGTCCATCATTTTTACTTTTACCTTTCCATTATGAATTCCTTAAAACTTGAACAGGGATTCTGAGACGGCCAGTTTTCAAACTTTACAATGAACTATGGTGAGAGATAGGATAGCATTAATGCCATGGACCTACAAAAACTTCATGTTAACACTGCCCTGCTTCACTTCATTTGGAACTGTTGCCCGAGGTGAGCATGGTGGCTCAGTGGTTAGCACTGCTGCCTCACAGCACCAGGAGCTCCACCCTCGGGTGACTGTCTGTATGTGGAGCTTGCACATTCTTCCCGTGTCTGCGTGGGTTTCTTCCTGGTTTCCTACCATAGCCCATAGATGAGCAGGCTAGGTGGATTGGCCATGCTAAATTGCCCATAGTGTTCAGGGATGTGTAGATTAGGTGGGTTATGGGGTCTGGGTGGGATACTCTGAGAGTTGGTGTGGACTTGTTGGGCTGTAGGGCCTGTTTCCACACTGCAGGGATTCTATGATGATGATTGTTACAGGAGGAGGCCACTTAGCCACTTGAGCCTGTTCTGCCATTCATAAAGTTGGTGGCTGGTCTTAATTCCATCTCCCAGCTTTTGTTCCAAAGCACTGAATGCCTGTCCCTTAAAAAAATTATTAGTTTCAGTTTTGAGAGATTTTGCAGAAAGATGAGACTTTCCACCCGTTTTCCTGGGCTGGTTGAAAGGTCAACATGGTAGGAAAACTCCTCTGAGTGAAAATTTGGTGAAGCCATCATTAATCATGTTAGATAACAAGGTGTAGAGCTGGATGAACACAGCAGGCCAAGCAGCATCATAGGAGCCGGAAGGCTGACGTTTCGGGCCTAGACCCTTCGTCAGAAATGGGGGAGGGGAAGGGGGTTCTGAAATAAATAGGGAGAGAGGAGAAGATAGGTGGAGAGGAAACAGACAGGTCAAAGAGGCGGGGATGGAGCCAATAAAGGTGGGTGTAGGTGGGGAGGTAGGGAGGAGATAGGTCAGTCCAGGGAGGATGGACAGGTCAAGGGGGCGGGATGAGGTTAGTAGGTAGGAGATGGGGGTGCGGCTTGAGGTGGGAGGAGGGGATAGGTGGGAGGAAGAACAAGTTAGGGAGGTGGGGACGACCTGGGCTGGTTTTGGAATGCGGTAGGGGGAGGGGAGATTTTGAAGCTTGTGAAATCCACATTGATACCATTGGGCTGTAGGGTTCCCAAGCGGAATATGAGTTGCTGTTCCTGCAACCTTCGGGTGGCATCGTTGTGGCACTGCAGGAGGCCCAGGATGGACATGTTAGCTTCTGTTCATGCATGTGATCTCTGTTATCACTTCTGGTGTTCAATCCTAAGTTTGAAGAGATTGACCTTACTGGTATTCACTTGAAGGTTGATAGTTGGAAAAACCACTCTGCAACTTCTTTACATATGTAAAACCACCTGTCTCTGTTTCTCTTGTATTTTGAAATTTTATTTATTTTAGGGCATCCACCCCCTGGGGACTTTATAGCACTGGGTTCGAAGAACCAGGCCTCTGATGCCAAGGCGTCGGGAACACTGCTGAAGCCAGCGCAGACGGGATTGCAGTCTGATAGAAAACGTGAGGGATCGTCAGCCATGACTTCCACCTCTGGCCTTTCAAAACGCCCGAAGATCTCTTCCACTCCACCATTGAGTGCGCTTGGACGCCTGGCAGAGGCTGCAGTCGCAGAGAAACGGGCCATATCACCTTCTATTAAAGAGCCATCTGTCGTACCAATTGAAGGCAAGTATTGGCTGCAGGGTATTGAGTGATGTGCACCTTTCTGCATGATCTAATACCTGAGATTAAGAATAGCATGCTCTTGCTTCTCTGAGCATTTTCACTATATTGAAATCAAAATTCATTGCACAGTTTGTAACTCCAAGTCATTATTTCCCAAAATTTCGAAAAAAAAAGGAAATACTTGTACTTGGAAGTAAGAATGACAGTGATAGACTTCAAGAGGATATGGACAGATGAATAGCAGATTAAATTTTCATGTAGTGAAGTGTGAAATAATAGATTTTGCTGGGGAAAATGAGGAAAAGAACTATAAAATAAGTTTTTAGAGCAGATGCAGGATCAGACGGACTTGGAGTTTAAGTGCAGGAATCAGTGAAGATAGCAGGGTAAATAGATAGTGGTGTTAAAAGGATATGAACATAGAGATGCAGATACCAAAGCAGGGACGTTATAAAGAACGTTTTATAAAATGTCGATATGGCCTCAGCAGCAGTAATGTGCCGGATTCTCAGCACTACATTTTAGGAATACAATGAAGGAAAGAAAAACATTGAGTATTGCAAAGATTAGTGCGAAACCACAGGATTGGGAAAGTTTTAAAAACCAACAAATGACACCAAAACAAAGGGGGAAGATAAACTTTGAGGGTAAACTTGCAAGTAATATGAAAATGAATGGCAAGAGCTTCTTTATAAATATAAAATGAAGAGAGAGGCTAAAGTTAACATAGGCCACTTAGAGAATAAGGCTGGGAAAGAATAATGGGAGCAGAAAATGGAGAGGAGTTGAGAGAGTTTGAGATTGCAATGTAGTAACCCATTCAGATGAATAAATTTACAGTGAACATTATGATTTACTGTTGAAGCTTGAGTCACATGCAATTTATCTAGTCTGTTTCATAATTTATAAGCTCAAAGTCTGTTGTGGGACAAGTTTTATTTTTGATCAATATATATCAAATGCTGGGTACCCATAATAACAGCAGTGTTCAGACAAAAGGATTACAGATTCTGATATTAATCACAGAATTTGAATAATAATGTATGATTCAGCCCAAGGCCATAACCCTTTCATATGTTCCACTGGCTTGTTGTTTTTAAAAGTAGTTGATCTGAAAAGTTTTATGAATCATAGAATCATACAACGCAGAATGCAACTACTCAATCCATCACCTCTGTGCTGGCTCTCTGGAAGAGCAATCAGTTTCATATTTCTCTGCTGTTTAAAATCCTGAAAATTTGTGTTTTTGAAAGTAGGAGAGTTGCATTTAAATTGCACTTTTCATGACTGTCTGACATCTGAAAACCAATTACAGTCAGTGAAGTACATCAGAAGTATAGGCACTATTGGAATGGAAGAATTTAAAACCCTAACGCTATTGAGGGTTGAATCAATTGGAACATTCAAACTTGCAGTAATTCCTGCTTTCAAGTGTTGGCCCTCCTATAGGTCAGTGAATTTACTACGTCAGTAATTGAATATTGCAAACCACAAAGGTCCGTGTTTCATCTTTCCTTGAGCACGTCTTTAACAGCTGCTAGCAGCAGTGCTAGACTTGTCTTTCATTGTGCTGTCCACTGACCTTAGCTGGAATATGGAGGAAGTTACTGCTTTTTCAGTTATTAGGTAGACTGGCTTAACTCTTGAGCAAGCGTAGGCTGCATATCTTCTCAATATGCATCCATCTCTCATCATGATGTGATTCTGGATTTACAAAAGGCTGTTTGTTACAGAAGAGTGAGTGATTTGATTTTTCATTGCTATAGTTCCCCCAGCGACACTACTGGATGAAATAGAGGCTGCAGAGTTGGATGGTAATGATGACTGCATTGAGGGACTACTGTGTGGAGCAGTTAAACAGATGAAACTCAACCGAGTGAAGCCAGACACTACGCTGTTTCTCAGTCTTATGTACTTGGCCAAAATCAAACCCAACGTCTTTGCAACAGAGGGTGTAATTGAGGTAAGGTGTTCGCAGTATAGAGAGGAACTGCTGAACAAAATGCCACCAAGCTCCACCTAGTTCACATTCAGATATTGTTTAATCAACCGGTTCTGGGAAGTTATTACACACTGCTGGAGCAAGTGGAACTCCTGACTCAAAGATAAGGACACTACCACTTCACCACAAAAGCTGTCTAGTTCACATTCAGACATCCTGCTAGTTAACTGATACAATGATAATTGTTGACTATTAGCAATAGTTATAGCAAGCAATTTCCAGCAGTTTAGATAAGAGGTGAGAAAATTCCAGTGGTGGAGAGCTTTGGGAATTATCAATTTTAAAGTTGCATGTTCCTCCCAAACATGCAACACATTCCACATGTTATGTTACAAATACTTGTATACTGTATCCCAAAAACATATTATTTCCTTAAATCTAATTTGCATTTGAATTAATACCAAATGCACAAGCATCTCTCTAGGAAACCCTTCCGTAGTTTTGAATTGAACCTTTTATGAGTGCAGGCCATATGGTCTGGTTCTACCAATGTGAACAAGGAGGAAAAATTTGATCCTGGCTGAAGTTACCTAGTCCATTTTTATGAAGAGGAGCACGTCATTTTATGGCACAGGGAAATGCCCACACTGTAGACCTGGCTAAGGGTAGATGATAAATCAAAACTGGTAACTTCCTGATCTGTACGGCATAGATTGGTGGGCACATTGGACCATAGGGTCATCATGGATTGTTTTCAATGCGGCCGGGGTGGGGAAAATAGTTAACTTCATGAGGGAGGGAGGATAGCTGGTGGCTGAGTATAATGGGGTAGGGTGAGAGGAGGCTCTTCAGCATAAACAACTGCATAGACCTGTTGAACTGAATAGCATATTTCTGTCTAAATTTTATGCCACTTTATTAGATCTTCAAACTCATTCCCTCTTCAGGAAAGTTGAGGCATAAAAAGAAAGTTAGAAAGGAAAGCATCATTATCTGTGTTGACATACTTTTTAATATCCCTGTTTGCACTAGGCCTTATGCAGTCTGCTTCGACGTGATGCCTCCATTAATTTCAAAGCCAAAGGGAATAGTTTGGTTTCTGTGCTCGCTTGTAATCTTCTGATGGCGGCCTACGAAGAAGATGAGAACTGGCCTGAAATTTTTGTCAAGGTATGGCTAACAACAGTGAATTTTATATTGGCAATGATGTTGGGCATGTTATACATTAGAAGATAAATGTTTTTAGATCAGGTATACAGTTTCTAGTGAGAGTTTTACTTCAACCAAACACATACCATAAAACTTGGCTTATTCTGCTTTATGTACACATTTGAATATAATTAACTAATTGGATTTCAACACCTATTTGCTTTCTTACCTTTAACTTCTAGGTATTCTGCATTTTATTAACAAAATCGAATGCTAACAGATTCTTCTCTTTTAATAAAACCTATTCATAAGAAAATAAATAAAATGATAAAACATCATATTGCATTATTATAAATCTCTAATGTCAGCACGGACAAGTTATACCAAAGGGTCTGTTTCTGTGCTGTATGACTGTATAACTCTATACTACACCCCTATATGTAAAAGTAATTCTGTAAGACTGCAGCATGAATATTTATATGTTCTCACAATTCATTACGACATAGCGTTATTATTACAGCACAAAGTGCTCCTGTTGGAGCGCATTCAACAATTTTTCGAACAAGCATTTCTTTTTGTAAAGCAATCCAACAGCTGATAACTTGTAGTAACCCATTTTGTATTTGAACGTACTATTCTTTCTAAGATCTCTTTTATACTTGCAAGATCAAACTTTGATCTCTTTTGAGTAACGCTCTAAATCAAGTGAACACTGTCCTAGAACAAATTATTATGGATGTAAGCATTCCATAGATACACCTTTAATTGGATTGGACCTTATATAGGAGTTTCTTTAAAATACTAAATAAATTCATGGCTCTTTCTGTCACATCTAACAACGCAAATGTCCCTGCTTGTAAGATTCTTCCAAATATTTATTTTTGATGCCCAAGCAAACAGATAACATTTGCCATTTCTTCTCACTAACGTGATAATAAATCCTGCTATACTTGAAAAACCATCAGGAAGATTAGCATGTGAGATTTCACAAAAAAATGACCAATTTCATTCTGTCTGACCCTAGCCCATGGCTGGAAATTGGAGTGTACGCTAATGTCTTATTTGCCTTTAGCACATCTCTAACAGTAGCGTATTTCAACGTGGTGCTTATTTTTAAATACATCATAGCACACATCCAGTCTAGTTAGTTTGCATAACCGGTTTAATTGTCCAATTAAACTTCTTTATCTGGTACACTTTGTCCTTAATTGTAGAAACTTCCGTTGTGTGATCTAGTCTAATTTATCAGGATCCTGTTAGCATTCTGCAAGCAAGACTGTTGATTTAGAGTTATTCTCAACATGGTCTGTCTGATTTCCAGTACTATTTATTTAAAAGCTCCTGAAGCCTGACCTCCAATTTTAAAATACGCTTTCAGCCTGTTAATGACAATGTTCCAAATTCATTACTGTCACCCCACAAAATGTCATCTACAGGCATTGTAAAGATGCCTGAAAGTCTCAGTATCAATGGTCTCTCCAATACCTACTTCCTTATAATTTTTGAATTCTTCTAGTGACAGTCTCCTCACCTGTCACCATGGCATGAGCAGCTTCTACTTAATGGGTAGAGACAAATGCAAAGTATTCATTTAACATCTCAGCCATGCCCTCCATTCCCATGCGTAAATCATCTGCTTTGTCCCTAATTGGCCATGTTCTTCCTCTTACCACTTTTACTGTTCGTATGTAGACAGAATGGAATTCCCTGTTATATTGGCTGTCAGTCTTTTCTCATTAATCCTCTTTGCTTCTCTAAATGCTTTTTCACTTCCCCTCTGAACCTTCTGCATTCCTCCTGTTTCTCAATTGTATTTTCTGCTACCCACACCTGTCGTAAACAAATTTTTCTCCTTGAATTTCTATCTTCTTTGTCATGGGGGAGATCTAGATTTGTTCCCTTTTGAGGGAGTATACATTCACTATACCCAAATGGTCTCTCTTTGAAGGTGGCCCATTGCTCAGTTGAAATTGTCTCACCCATCTTTTGTTCCACTCTATTCTCTTGCCCCTTTGAAATCAGCTGTCTGTCTGTTGATTATTCTTACTCTGGATTTACCACTGTCATTCTCCACAATCGTAATAAACCTCGGGGATCAATGGCCTCATTTCGATCTACAGAACTGGCCTGTCTCTTAGACAAACTGTTCATTGCAAAGCTTGATTCTCATAATTGTGTAATATTTGGGTATGAAAAGTTCTTGGTTCCTGTTCATTTTCTATAATTTTAGAAACTGAAAATTTGTAATCCACACCAAGCAGCCTTGAAGCATGTATCCAAAAAGTCTGGTTACCATGCTGTACAATTATCAATTTTCTATCTTCAATAATGACCTTCCCTGGATCCCTCCATTCTTTAAGTTCCTCTCTGATTTGAATTGGTTTATAATGCCAGATTTCATGCCAAAAATGAACAGAAGCCTCCTATCATCTGCATTGAATCCTTAGCATGGCTAGTCAATACTAGTAAAACTGATAATTTACAGTTTAGCTGATTTGCCAAAATTTTATGAACCACTTCATGTCTCACTACAGTTTTCCTTTCACATACCCCATTGCTAAAAGGATGTTCTGCTGCTGTATTCATAACCATTATGTTCTTTTTTGCACACATCTCTAAATTCATTGTTAATAAATACCTCTCCCTCCATTCCAGTGGAATAAAACTTTCACCAAAGTCAAACTTACTGTAGCCTGTGACTGTGCCCTTTGCTATTTCTTTTAAATTTCACATTCTATCACTTTTTTCTTCTATAAATTTAATATTTTCCTCAGCCCTTATTCTTATGTCCTTTATTAAAATGTTTAACATTTTGGAGAACAGATGGGCAGATAGCAGTCAATTGTGTTAAAACTGC